GTAACCAAGCCCCCAGTAGCTGGTGCAAGAGACCTCAGTTGTCAGTGCTGGTGGGAGCAGTAGCCGCACTGCGGTCCCGCGCCGCTGTTCCCTTGGTCTGACTATCGCGCTCACGGGAGAGCTGGGAGAGGCCCGTGAGGTTTCCCCGCTGTGTGGAGGGGGGGGCCAAGGGGGTTACACACCTGCCACCGCTGGTTTCAATGAAGTTACCTCCTCTGCCGCATTCTGGTGACTTCAGTTCTCTGCCATGGTGATATCCCATGCGAATGGCGACAGTTCGTTCCCTTTGCCGAGTTACCGTTGCAACAGGTGGGTCCTGACTGGCTCTCCCAAGCCCTGTCTCAATCCTGTGGCCACTGCCTATGGAGGCTTGGTTGGTATTWACCTCCGCAGGATCAGGAAAAGCCGACAAGCTGTTTCATCGGGATTGGGATCGTTTAGTGCTGAGTCACAGCGGTTTGTCTGCAAGATGAAGGCGAACGGGAGCCTGAATTCAGCAGCTCCAGGCTTGGTGTGTGTTCTGAGAGGCGCAGATTGTTCTCCCTAGATCCATGTCAGCACAGCATTGCCTAGTGCTCCTGAGCAAACAGCATTTCAATGGTTTAAGACTCCCTATGCCCATGCAGCTGAAGAGGTCAGAGACTTGATCTCTCTGTGCCTGCCACCATGTTGGATTAATCTAATGGAAGAGGTATTAAGTGACAATTATAAGCATGACTGCATTAATATGAGTTTTATTAAGTAGACTTAAAAAGTATTTGCAGATGTTTCCAAGAAGTTCATGCAAGGTGTTGAAGTGTTTTAGACAGTATTTAAATTTTTTTTTTTTTTGCCTAGTGATGAAAAGACCCAACATGAACAATTTTATATACATAAAAAATATTTAGAGACAGACTCTCACCAAGTTTCTTAGGGCCTCTCTAAGTTGCTGAGGCTGGCTTTGAATTTGTGACCTTCCTGACTCAGCCTYCCAAGCCCCTGGGATTACTGGTGTGCATCATCACACCCAGCTTCACACAAAAGCCGTTAGGGGACCCTGATATCTAAATCATGACATGAAGTATTTAGAGACACCATGAGTCTGAAGATTGGAAAGTTTATTCAAGACTCTGCGAGAAAATAAGAACAAAGATATTATCTAAAAAATGAAAACACAGACTAAGATAGTGGTCATGCAAAGAGAGAGAAGTGGGCTAATGTACTCTATTTGGGTGACCAGCTATTATCTTTCTCTCACTTCTGTGTAATATGGTAATGCTTGGTATTTTACCAACYAGAGATTGTACACTCACACTTTCCCTAAATTATTTACATATAAGTTTCTGGAATTTCTGTGGTTAACAGTGATGGACCTTTTGTGGAAGATAAGAGAGAAACATGTTAGAGATGACTCTCAGGTTTTGGGGATGAACCACGATGGACCAACTTAGACTAGGAATACTGGAAGAAGAACTTGTTTGGATGCAAGATCAAGAGTTTAAATCTGTCATGATAAGTTCCTTATCTWGGAGATAAAACTCATTTTGGCTGAATGGATGATTAAACAAATGACAATTAGAGACTGCTTGAATTCTATTAATTGCTCATAATTCTAAAATAACTACTTGTCAAATGACTACATATTGACTGAAAGGAATTTCAAATATGACATATGAGAGCATTAAATTTTACATATGAATCAGGGTTCAATTACAGAAGTAGAACAGTAGGAGATACATATTGTGATTTTTACTGCAAGGAATYGGCTTACATGATTTAGGAGGCGGCAGTGGAAACCTAAAATCCCTTTGGCAGTCTTTCAGGAAGAGCAGGCTGCAATGCTGGGGCATGTGTCACAGCTGATGTCCAAAAATAATATCTTCCTTCTCAGTGAAGTATCAGCTCTGTGTTTTCAACTACCTGAAGCTGGGCCAGTCAGATCAACTAAAATCATCCCCTTACGTAAAGTCCACTGTGTGTGGACTTTAACCACATTTCTTTGCAGCAATATCTGGATTAATATTTAATTGAATAACTGGGRACTCTAATATAACTAAATTGACATGCAAAACTGAATACCATATTCTACTTCCTCCTACATGTGACTTTTATGAATTCTTTATTTTAGTGAGTTTTAGTTTTTCTTTGTTCACATCAGGGAGAGGTTTTAATATAATGAAATGCATTAGTGGTCCATTTACATTAACCCTCACTAGATATTTATTTCAACATGTGTGTCCTTGAATTTACCAGCTTTCAAAATTTCTCCTTACTTACTTTAATGGATTCCTTTCTAGTGATTTTCCTACTAGAGCAACTGCATTTTCTGAATACTCTAGTATAATTTGAATAAACAATCTCTTATCTCTTTGATATGCTAATGTGAGTTTCTCTGAGTACCAGGAATTTCAGCGTCCCGAAAAATTAACTGTGTGAAAAAATACACATTTATATATTTTGATTGTACAAAGCAGTTTTGTCTCTTACTCTTACATTTGGCACATTTRTGTTTTTAATATTATTGCAACGTAAACCATTATCTTACCCCCATCCCTCTAGTATTCTCTGCTGTGAAAAGACACAGCCATTTTATTTCCTTTTCCTGATGTATTACTTATTTGATGTATAACACTGTTTATTTCACATTATTCTTTTATAACATTAAAATTTGAAATGTTCTTAATTTTCATCTCGAGTGAAAAATCTAACTTTGTGATATAATTTAATTAAGAATCCSAATGAAGAAAGAACACACTACCCAGGGAGTTCAGAGTAGGAATGGAATGACTCTTAACTGGGGATTTAAGAAATATTTTACTGAGTAGAATAAAACTTCGACCTTGGTCTCGAAGTAGATGGTTGTTTGAAAGATGGCAAAGGGGGCATTTTATTTTGGGGGAGAAAAGTATGCAGGGACAAAAGCATAAGAGGAATGGAAGGGGTAGACTCTTCAGGTAAGGAAAGAAGTCTAATGTAAAAGGAGGATTGAGTGCATGGAGTGCAATAAAGAGAAATCAAACTGCAGAGATTGGGTTTGAAATTGAGATTTATATATGCCAAAATAAGGAGTGAACAAACAATAGAAACCCAGCAAACTTTCTTAAGTATTTATGCTTTAGTTATATTTATCTATATGTTTCTAGTATCTACACACTGCTTGATACATAGCAAGCATTCMATAAACACCTTTGGTGAAGATCGGGCTTATTTTCAAACAAAATAGCTTTCTCAGTGGTAATAAAGTGGACTTTCTCAGAATAAAAGGAATGAGAATGTAGAAAACAAAAGCAAAAACAAAACCCAAAGCAATGGATTTGCATGGCAATGAGAAATGGGTGGCAGAAAGTCTAAATGAGAGATTAAAAAAATAGGGTCCATATTTGAGAACATTTTTCTAACTATAAAGATTTTTTAAAGTATTTGTGTTGGTATAAAAATTTAAACCTCTTTTTATAAAAAAAACAGGCAGATGTGCACTGTAGCATTAAATCACCTTGAAACTTGTCTGTGAGTAATAATGTTTACAAACATATAAAACTGTATCAGGTAGAGAATAGTGTTATGCAGTTTGGTAGAGTTTGTATATTTCTTTTTGTTGTGGGAGATTCTGAAAAATGTCTTTGAACACTGGATCAATGTTGTGCATTTGCCAACATATTTTTCTGTGACAGCAAAAATATTTGAGAGATAACTAGAAATTGGATCTGAAATAATAGTCTCGCTCTGGGATTGCATTCTCTTTCTTCTGATGAATAATTGGTTTGTATCTAAAGGTAATGCTTTTTGATAAGCTGGAGTATGTCTATGTCTCTGAAAATTTTTATCCTCCTCACACAAATTGATCCCAAAGATTAAAGAATTCATCGCTGTGATTTTAAGCTGGATTTATTGACACTCCTTCTTATTGAGTCCAAAAACAGATTGATGAACAATTTATTTTAATCCCCTGGGAAAAGGGGTAGGATTACTTCAGAATTATGGTTGGATTTTTGGTTAGTTTTGTTTTTCAATAATGTCTGGCCAGCTTTAACACCTAGGACAAACTAATTTGTTTCTAAATTATATAATTTGAGAAAGATATTACATACCAGAAAACAGAAAAGAAAATCTCCCAGAGCTTACATCTTGCTTAAAATTTTAAGAGTTGGAAGAATGCCAGCCCCAAACAAATATTACATGCAAACATAGATTACATTTGAAAAATATTTTTATCTTAGTAGGTTTTAATTTCAAATAAATGTTACAAAATATCAATTTAAAAAATGATATTTGAGAGGAAGAATCTATATATTTCAATACTAAGTGAAGTATAAACATAGATATTTGTTCAGTCAAATCAGTTGGGATGATGGCAACCATGTAGCCCTGGGTACTTCTCACTCCCTAGTAGCTAGTGCTATAAACCACAGGTCTTTTCCATCAGGGAAAATTAGCTAGTTTATTAATATGCACAATCAGACACAGACCTTTGATTAGATGGATACTTTAGGACTGGACAGATGTTGATAACTGTATCGCTTCAACCATGGACTAAAATTTCATAAGAATGTACACATTATGTCTTTTTTTCTTCTGCCTCTTTCTCTGAAAAAGACTTATGGCATAGTATAATCCTCACTCATATCTTTGTCCCATATGTTAGCAATAGCCGATTGCAGAAAATTAGGTTTGAGTACAGCATTTTTCTTCATCATTTTCACTTTAAAAAATCTTTAATAAATTTAGGTTTGACTTTTCACAACTGCATTTCTTCCTCTTTCAGTCTGTTCCTGAGTCTCTAAGATGTGTGCCTCCTACGTACTCATGCAACATCACAGGTATACCTTAAAATTATTCATTTGGCCTTGGGCTCTATATTCATCCATTGAGCATTAATTAAGTTCTTGCTTCAATTATGTATTCATACTTACTCATAAAATATTGAGTGCATGAACAACTGAACAAGGTAACATCTAATTTAGTTCAAGATATTCAAGGAAGGATAAAAGTGTGATTAAGGTCCTCCAACTTCCTTGGCCCAGGTGGATTCTGGTAAATTCCTTGACTTAGAATGTATGACCTACTTATTCTCTCAGTAATTATTCATGAATCTAGAAGCACAGAACAGTATTGTTTTCATAGGAATGGATTCAAAGAAACAAGGAACTTTTCCATTTTTCCTGAATTKTCAAGGTTGTATCATATTGATTTTCAATATATTAGTGTTTGGATTTACCAAACTGAGTTCAGGAAAGCAATAGGAAGAATAAACGGAACAATGAATCTGTGTAAAAAGGGTATAAAGCTTTGCATAGGAACTTTAGTATCAACTGGGATTAAAAATGGACTATAAGGAAGAGGCTCGTGGGATAATAGAGACATTTCAAGTAATAATTTTAAAAAGTTATGCTATTCATTTTACTTTTTTATAAATAGAAGATACTTGAAATAACTGGTTAAAAATTTGATGACTTTCACTAAGCAGATCAAAATCACATATTTGTAGCAAATTATAGCCAATTTATTATGAACTTTACTTTTTGCCTTCTAAAGTTTTTTGGG